GCCAGCACTGGATCTCCAGGGCAAGCCTGCAAGGTGATGCTCAGCCTCCATTAAGTCCAGAGGAGGGCTGGTGTTCATTTCTGCTGTCTTCTTTTTGTCTGTGAGTAGAAGTTAGTCTTTAAAGCCTCTTCAGTGGGACCAATAGAAGATGAAACAGCAATGTCTTGAGGGGAAGCCTTTTATCTTTCCCCCTGCAGCAGAGAACAGTGTAGAAGCAGTTAGGTCAACCTGTCCTACATCTGTCTGTACTGCTAAAGGCAGGTCACCACCCTGACCTGGTGGTACAAACTGGCTGTGTTTGCACCGCACAGAGGTTGCAGTGATCCCTGATGCAGCACAAGACCAGAGATCTTTGCCTCTCTTGTCTTTATGCTCTTCTCACCCAGCACCCGCTGTGCCCGTGCTCACCTCACCCATGGAGGACGTGTGCCAGCGGGCCCCTGGAAGGAGGCTCTCTGGATGCACAGGCAGCCTTTGCCCAGCACTGCTGCAGTGACGTTGCTCACCACTGCTGTGTTTGCTGCTTCTGTGTGTCAGGTGGCCTTTTGGTGTCATCTCTGGCTTGTCTGTCAGTCTGCTGCATTCTCTCAAATGGGACCAGACAAAGGTCTGATCCCCGGGGAGCATTATATTAGATACTACATTTTCCAGATGTCTGGGCTTAGACAGCAGGCCAGGCTTGGAAATGTGGACTGTCAGTTCAGGCCACTTTATCCAGGGAGGTTGCCCTTGAGTTGTTTACCAGTGCTGGATAGAGTATGCTGAACCTGGTACTCACTGTGTGCCCCAGCTGGGACAGAAACCTGTGAAACACAGCAGGAGGGTACAGAGCTTGCAAGGCCGAGTTCAAGGCTTGTGGCAAGGAACAGGCAGGGGGAAAGGACTGCAAATGCTTTCTGGCATCTTGTCATTCCCAGCTCACCCCGATTGGTGGGCACCAGTTCAGGTCAGAAACTCACCACGGGCACATCTGGAGCAGCAGTCCTGCTGGGCCACGCCAGGCAGCCCCATGCCATGGCCTGGCCTGCACTGGCCAGTCTTTGTGCGGCTGGGAGCATCCCAGGAGGCTTCTGCCTCAGCACTGGCCGCTGTTGGGCTGCCATTCTTCAACCATTTGGCTGAAAGCAGCATTGCTTGGTGGTACAGGAATACCCAGGCACAGAGAAGGCCATAAGCAGCAAGACAGGCTTTGAGCTAGTTCAGCCCCAGATTATTGTTCCTGAGGTGGGATATTGGGATTTTGCTTTTTTCCCTTAGCAATAGCCTAGAATAACAAGAGGCCTCCTCAGTTGTTTGAGTTTTATTTTCATAACTCCATGCAAGAGGTGTGGTGGTTGCTTTGGTATGTCTTTGGGGCACGGCACAAGGGTGTGTGAGTGAGATAGCACTGACGCACTGTGTAGGGCACAGCAAGCCAGGTTTGGCACAGCCATGTCCATGATGCCTAACTTCTTTTGGAGTGACCTGTCCCCCAACTTGCCCCAAAGGCTGTACATGGTTCATTAGGTCCGGAGTTTAGCAGCAAATGAATTTGTATGCCTGTGTACAATCAGGAGAGCTTGGAAGCTGCATAGATGCAGCCAGAGAATAATTATAACTGTTTCCTCTCTCTGATACGTGTCTCCTCTCGTTTGCCACTTCTCTGATGAGAGGAGAAGAGAGCCCTTTCTCCCGGAGAATGCTGCTGAGTTGGCTTCTCTGTAGCACAGCCTGGGACACATCCCTAGATCGTACAGGGCCTTCTCTTTCCCATGCCACAAACTGGATGTGAGGCAGTGCTTCATTTTTAACAGGGGGAAGGGGTAGCAGAAGCTCAGCAGGCTGTTACAAGAGAAGAGAGCTCAGCTTCTCTAGTTTAAACCGGATCAGGACCAAAGCAACGTATTGATGTACTAATGATATTTAGTTAACCAGCAATCATGCTTATTTTATACTTCTTTTCCAGCGGACTCCTTTTTTTTTCCAAGTCTCTCTAATTCCCTAGTTACTGTTTAATCTGACTGACGGTTGCTTCTTCTTTAACATAAGCAGTTTGTAGCAAATGTCTAGTTATGTGTATTTGATCCAAGTGCATGTGCACACACAATTTGTACTCATGTTCTCTTAGCAGATGCTGTTATCCATGCCGTTTACTAAGGGTGGGCTCTGCAAGCACCCCTGTGCTGCCCTAACAGATACTGCCCTCAGTGAATAGCAGGGATAATAATTTTTACAGTATTTTCTAGTTGGTCTTCTCTAGCCCACAGCATTCTGACTGCAGCTGTGGGATGTGATGCTGAGTGTGATGCTGCATCTCAGCAGTGAAGGTGTGCATTGCTGCAGGTCTCTGTCTTCAAGGGGGTGACACACACTAGGCTGTAGCTACCCTAGTATTGGAGGGTGCTAACATAAATAAGGCACAATTTAATTAAAAACTGCCATCACATCATCAGTTTCTGAACGTGATTTTAGGGCAGCACAAAACTATTTTGCTAAGGACTCTGTGTGAATTTCTAATAGTTGTAGGGACCAAACCAGATACATCTACTACAACTTGAGAGGTTAGAAAGTCTTTGTTAGTCTTTGGTATTTTAACAATTTTTGAGAGGACCAGGCAGTACTGAGATACTAGCATGTCAGGAACTACTGAAGAACAGAAGCAGTTGAGAATATTATCTCCTGTTTTTCCATAAAGGACACTAGAGTTGTTATACATCGAATAAAGTCAGGCAGATATTTGGTGACCCAAGGGAAGTTAACTTTTGATTTCTGTAATCTGCTGTTCTTCAAACAGAAATAAGAATATGCTTGAAAGAAAGTTATTGGTGGTTTGGCAGTCCTCCCGTAAGGTTGGGTAGTATGATTAATTCTCTGTGGTTTATAAGACTCGCATTAGAAAGTTAGCTCTTAAATGTTAACTTGGCCAGTGAAATTCCCTCCAGGCAAAGACCCTATGTCTCCCTCGAGCTGTACCGTGGGAATGGGCCCAGTGCAAGTGTGGGTGGTGGTAACGCCATCATATTCCCAGCGACGACACATTCTCAAGGACGTAACCATTTACTCACTATGTTTTGGACACTGTAACTACAGCTCAGCTGAGGGAAAGGATTTTGCGGCAAGTCCACTTACCAGCTGATGCAATTCCAGTGAAATCCGAATGTCATCTCCTATGTACAAAGATGAGAGTATATGAATTTGGACTGCCATGCCTGGGAAGACAGGATGTTCTTGCATGTTTTGAAATTTGGGGGAATTTTCTTATCCTTGCCTAATAAACTTTTTCCAATTTTTCTAAACCCCTCCTTGATATTTTATGGCTACCAGTGAATTAACAATTAACTAAAGTAACCAGAATAAAAACAACATTGTTTGTGGTGAGTATCAACTGAAATTGAGCACTGAGAACCAAATTACTCTGCTGTTTTTCCTAACATCTAGAGCTGGCACAGGAGGATGTAGTAAGATCTTTTTGTTTGAAATGTGCACTGTTACAGTTGCACGGCAAATGTTTGAATTTAATGTTTCACTGATTTAGCCATAAGCAGTTTTGCATGTTTGTCTTCAGATGAGTGTAATTCCACTGCACTGTAGTGGAGTTCTCCATAGCACATGGGTTGTGCTCCCAGCTCTGCACATCTCAGCTATGGTGTGAGTGGCATTTCTTTGCTTGGAATGTGTTGGTCTTGGGACTGGTCAGGTAATCAGAAGCGAGCGAGGTAGTGTGCTGCCAAAAGCTGGTTGCTTTGAATGAGGCAGAAGCTCAAAACATTGTGTTCCCAGTCTGTTACAGACGTCAGGAAAGTCAATAGCATTGCTCATCGGTTCAAGGTAAACCATTTTAAATGCAAAATACAAGCGTGCAGTTCGTTTCTACATCTCATCTAAGAGTCTGTCACCCTTGGTGGCTGTCTGAGCATGTCCTCTGAATTCGTGATACTTTTGATATGGCTGGTGTTGGATGCTCCACAAATGAAGATAAGATATGTGGGTGGATTTCTCAGCCTCTCCCTAGCCCCTGGGGTAAAGCTACCTCTGAATTCATCTAGCTAAAGGGGAGCTAGAAGAGTCTGTGAGCTAGGGTTTTACACTGGAAACACTCGTCTGTCACAGTGATCATGTTCATCTGAACACACAAGAGTTGTTGCAGCCGTACAGCCCAGCTGTCACAGGGCCTCAGCAGGAGCCAGGTGAAATGGGAAGGGCTGAGGCTGGATTTCGGTGCAAATGGCAGGTCAGCAGATGGGAGAGGACAGTTGGGGTGTCCCTGCTCAGAGTGTTAGCACCCATCTCTGACTGGCTTCCCACTCTTTGTCTTCCCAGTATGCTGTGGCTAGGAAGGGAATGGCACAGGCCAGAGTGCCCTTGTCCTGTGGGCATGCCCCTGAGCAAAGAAAGAGGTCTCAGTGCATGCTGCTGATTGGGGCTGCCTGATCTCCTCTCCATCTCCCAAAGCTGTTTAACGGTCTCCTTAAACTGCTTTTGCCATCAGTAAAATTAAAAGTTTGTGCTGTTCCCCACTTCTGCTCCTGTATGGTGGCCCGTTTGGGATACGTATTCCTCTTTAGCCTAGCTGGAAGCCAGTAACATGCACAGAAATGTAATCCAGTATCTACGTCTGTTTTAATTTCAGAAAACTAACTTACCCACTGTGATTCATCCTCCAGCTAGTCTGCTGCCCCGTTCTCAGGATAGGGAAGTTGTGGAAGGGGAGTGTGACCATTAATCCCTCTGCCCTGCAATACTCTCCTGGAGAGTCAGGTCACAGACCTTCAAACAAGAGCCGCTGCTTTTGTGCTAGATGCTTTGTAGTAAGCTGGCTAACATATGAATTTCTTTACAAGTTGGGAGGCTATTGACCCGGCAAGCTGGCACTGGGCAGCTGATGTGCAGATATAGCCAGATACCCTGTTCCTGATTTTCTGCTTAGTAGCAGCAGTGCCCCTGTGAGCATAAGAAGAAATCTCTGATTATAGAAATGGCAACCTGCTAATGACTTCCATTCCTGCTTTCTCTCCTCTCAGAACATCCCCACCTTGGGAAGCGTAGCAATAACCATGGCGCTCCACAACTGTGATGAGGTGGCGGTAGCTGGGTTTGGCTATGACATGAGTTCACCCAATGCACCGCTGCACTACTATGAGAACATCAAGATGTCTGCCATCAAAGAGGTAGGGAGCTCCTGCCAAGCACATCTTCTTCCCAAGCCCGCCGACCGCCCCGACTCCAGAGCCTGACTGGGATGGTGATGTCAACTTACAGCCTTCCTGTATGGGTCAAAACACAGCTCCACCCATGCTTTTGCATGTAAAATTCTAGACATTCTCCCAAGCACAATGTGTGTTAAAAATGGTTATTTCTGCTGGGAAAAGTTCTCTGGAATGTGTATATAATGTGATTCCTTCTTTGAGCATCAGGGAAAAGATTCACATAAATGTTAACTTGAGTTAGGGTGAAAGGGAGCAATTCTGCTCTGGGGTTGAAAAGATGTGGCCTCCTCCTGCTTTTTGGTCCATTGTATTGCTCTCTAATCCATAGGCTTCTTTTGCTAGATGATCCTCTCCTCAGCCCCTGTGAAATGTGGGGGAGGTGAGATTAGCCCGTGCATGTTAGCTCTCAGCTGACTGTTCAGCAGCAGTTAGCTAGTATAAACATATCATGGCTCTGTGGAGACTGCTCTTTAAAGCCAGATCTACATTAGAAACGTTTTCTGGTACTATCACACTGAGTTGAACAGCATTTTTAGGGGAACAAAAGCTCTCATGTTGGTACAATGCAGCAGCGTAAAGACACTCTTTCAGATCGGTCCATTCCTGTACCAAACTTGGACACTGGTCAGAGCTGCTATAGTGGGAAGGTTTGCTGCTTTTTTAGTAGAGTACAATCTTTCCCAGCACAGATGTGGCTCAGGCCTTTCTAAGATTGCTTCCCCCTCTTCACTGGCTCCTAGATAGGGAAACTTTCTCAATTCTACTCCACATTGTGAAATGTTGAACTGTTCGTGGACAGTAGCTGTCTGCTGGCACTTAGCATTTGTTCACCTTTAGCACTTTGCCATTGATCCAGGCCAGGAGGGAAGCTGGAAAATTGTGTTTTTCCAAATCACAAGATTGTATGTGTTTTAGAACTCTCACAGACTGCAGGCTGCATGACCCTGGGCAGACTGAGAGAAATTAGTGATTAGTCAGTTTGAGAAATGAGAAGAGCGAGTCTAATTATCAGAGCAATGAGACTTTGGAACAACTTCTCAGGAGAGGCCAAGAGAACAAACTGAGTTTGGGAAAAGACTGTGAGGAGGTCCCCAATATATCAGGGGACTGGATATCATGGTTCTGAGGTACCTTCTGGGCCTGTGGAGGTAGCAAGAAAGTCTGCCTTGCTCAATGGAATAACCATGGATTTAATCTGTGCTGGCTGGGAAAGTGAGTGCCCATTTACAGGATTTAAGGGTTATGTCCACAGAAGAAAACTGAATTGAGTCACTATGTACAGAGATGGTGTCTGGTTTGTGAAATCTGCGAGTGGAAAATAGCTGAGGAATATCATTCTTGCAGTAGTAGAGGAGGTAATACCATTGGCTTGCTCAGCTCTGACTCTTCCCTGCATGTCTGCTTATAACCTTGAGTCGGGACCTTGGGCTACGTGGGCCCAGGTCTGAGTGCATACAGCTGGTTCTTCAGTCTTCGAGCAAAAACACAACTATGCCAGACTGAAAACGCATGCGGATGCCTGGCTCCAGCAGTGGCTACATAGACTCTTCATGAAAGTTTCAGGAAATGCTTTTGTCTTTGTGGTGCCACTGTGTCCACTCTGCTGAAGTGGCTGCCTTTGGTGGAGAACCACTCTTGCCCAGTTGTTCCCCTGTCTCATAAGGATCTCAGTCCCACAGTCTGCTCTTGGACACAGGGACACTCACAACGGGTGTCCTGTGCCAAGCCTGTTATGCAGCCTGGTAGGTATCTCCGACTTCAAGGACACTTACACAGGAGCTGACAAGAATGAAGTCTTCTTGTTCTTGATCCTTACATGGATCAATGGGAAAAGGTGGCAAAAAGAGTTAGATGAGTCTGCTGTTGAAGTTGCTGGTCCAGATCACTTGGATCTTTGATTCTGGAGGCCCGCACCCTGAGTGGGATGCAGAAGCAAGTGGAAGACAGAAGGGAGTCACTCTTGGACACCATACATGGTCTCAGGAGTAAACCTTGCATGGCACAGGGCAGTATATGAGGATGAACATGTGAAATGCAATCATTAGGGTCTCCTAGAGAGACCAGTTGGTCCCTGGTTTGTCAGGCATCTGCTGTCTGGAAGCTGTCAGTCATCATGTCCAGGATGTTCTGTACGGAGGTGAGGGAGTGTTGAAAGGTTCTGGTGAAGCCTCACTAGTTTAGATGTCAGTGGATTTGTTTCTGCAGCCAGGGCTGTTGATGAGAGCTCTGCAGGCCAGTGGAGCTGGTTCTAGGAGGAAGGTTCCTGTTCCACTTGAAGACTGGTTATCCGATATGAGTCTGCCCATCTAATCCTCACATCCTTACCCACAGGCTCCTCTTAGATTTCACTGCCCCGGTACAAGAAAAGCCATCTGTTCCCAAGTATCAATAATTAATGCTTCTCCTGCTTCTGCCCCTCCCAATATGACAAATTGTTTGTGATATTGTGGAATGTGAAGAGCAAAGAGAGGATTGCATTTCTTTCTTTCCCATTTAATATTGATGGTAGCTGGTAATTGTTAGTCATCTGAGGGTGAAGTTGAAAGGTGAAGGGCATAGTAGTTGGGTTGTGTCTTCTGCAGTTGCCCTCAAAGAACACACAAATGGAGATTTGCCCCACTCTAGACTGGAAGCGCCCTGCACACCCTGCTTGAAGAGAGACCTGCATATGGTTTGCAAATTGGGAGGCTGGCCTGCATTGGTTCCTTGTGCCAAACCTTGCACTTGGCATTAGTGAAAGAAGACTGACCCAGAGCCAAGCTCCATCAAGGCTTTATGCCTGTTCCATCTGCTCTGACACCCAAAGGCCCAAGAGCATCCACAGCATTTTCCTCAGTGTTAACTTGGACCTGTGGGGTTGTGTCCAGGTCTAGTTCTTCCTGGTCCTCCTCTATATTTGAGTATCTAAAGGAACCACTAAAGCAGGCTATTCCTTGAAATTATGCAAGTGTTGTCTTTACCCTCTGTCTGGCCTGCAGACCCATGGAGGCTGGAGTACTCATTCCTGGGCAGGGGAATGGAACTCTTTTGCTTAATGTAGCAACATGATAGCACTGAAACAACTGCCATAATGAACATCTCAGGCAAGAACCTCTGCAGTTTGACCAGGCTTTGGTGGGGCAGAACTTCTATTTCTGAAGTTCAAATCTTTTCCCTAACTGCTGGGCTCCTCCAGCCTGAATGACCAAAAATCTTCTGTGTTTAAGCCTGGAGAGCAGCTGCAGGGAAGCACTCCAGCTCCACCCTGAAACCATCACCGTCTTTACAGAAGAAATGTAAACACCAGCAGCGTCCTGGGTCTGGAGGTGCCACGTGTGTGTGGTTCGTGGGAGCCTCCCTGGGAACATCCTTCAAGCTCCTTCCCTTGCCTGGTGTCTGCAGGGGAAAAGGGTTTGCTGACAAGTGTTTGTCCTCCCAGCAAGGTGTGTCACTGATTTACACTTGAGGTCTGCTTGACATCTCTCTGGACACCCTTGAAACCCTGTGAGTCATCTCCGAGGAATTTGTTCTGATTACATAAAAAAAGCCGGCAAAATGCGCTTGCTTGCTCACAGCTGGGCGGAGATGCCTCTCCCATGCCAAGACTGAGGTGATAAAATCTCTGTGGAAGTGAATGTGATTTTCCTGTTGCCCTGTGGGACCAGCGGCTGAATTCCCAAGAGGAGAAACAGGCAGCTCCAGTGTATAGTTTTGCTTAGTCTTTGCTTTCCCTGAAGGGTTAAAAGCCCTCGAGGTCCGAGATTGTGCTGCTATTACAACCACAGAAGGCAGCTGATTCCACTGCCACTTCCAGCAAGCATCTCTGCCTCCCGAGGGCTGGGCAGACATTTCCTGCCCTGGAGGAGGAGGTTCTGCAAGGAGGCAGATGCTCTGGAGCTTCTTCAGTGTTACCAGTCAAGGGGAAGTACATGGTCTTGGGACTGTGGTCAGTAGTATGACCACAAAACACATATGGATTCTCCTGTGCTTCTGAATGCTCATGAGAGTAAATTTCTCCATTGTAGTCCTGGATGACATCCTTACCCTCTGTCCTGGGTAGCTCAGTGTACTCCAGGTGAAGACCTAGTGGAGAAGACCCTTTTCTGTTCATAAGTGTGTTCTGGAGAGCTGGCAGCACACTGGTGCAGTGCTGTCAGTTCAGGCTGCGAGCTGGAAGATCAATGCTTGCAGTGCAAAACTGCCCCTTGATCCCAGGTCTGCTGCCCAGCACCTTCTCCCCTTCTCTCTCGTTTTCTCCCATCATGGCTGGGGGTGCAGTGTCCCTGGCCTGCAGTTCAGCAGGGGTTTTCTGGGTGGTATGAAGACAGTCTGCTGTTCTCTCATCTGCTGCTGCCCAACAGACCCAGTGCTGTTGTGTAAACTCTCACAGGTGATTTTGTCAGCTCTAATCCTGTCTCTTTGTTTTAACTTACAAAATGAAGAATATCCAAGTGTGTCATCTCCCTTCATTTCTGTTTTCGCTATTCCAAATAACTTCGCAGCAGCTTTTGACCCTTGGCTGCTTCTATGAATGCTGTACAGAAAATGATTGAGTCCTTGCCAAGGTGTCTGCTCACTTGTTTCTGTTTTCATGGCGATGAGTCCATCGGAGCTGAATTTTGATATAATTTATTATGTTTTTATTTCTTGCTCAAGTCCTATAATGCTTTCTGCCCAAGCACTCCATAAAAGTGTATTTTTATCACAGGTCACTGTCTTCTATTAATGTACAAGTGTCATATCCACTGAGGACATAGTGAAGGAAACATGGAAATGGAGTTGAGGAAAAAAGGAATAATTTTTAAATAGAGTGAAGGCTTTTCCAGATAAAAAAATTAATTACCCTGCCTATAAGGGTTACAATAGACCTTCACTGCTAATGGCAAAACAGGCTAGTGTTTCAGGCAGAGATTATTTCAGGATGAGAAAGTGATGGTGTTTGGAATAGTAAAAACATATCCATTAAGGAGTTGATGAAACAG